TACACACATTAAGTATACAACACTAGGTTACCTGAGCGACTTAGTCTGAGTCTCGCAAAAGGAATAAATTTACCCCTTTTTTGCAACATTTTTCATTGATGCTCGGCTCCTATTGTCCGTAGCATGATGTTACATAGCCTATAGCCTTCCTCAAGAAATGGGCTAACCAGCACTAAAATAATTTTTCAAAAAATCTAACCAGTAGGTCCTGAGATAAGCGCGTTCAACCAAACGTTCTGACGGACCTGTTGGTCTAGTGGTTAGTGACCCTGACTACTAAGCCGGAGGTCGTGGGTTCGATTCTCACCCAGGTCAAATAATTATGTGATAAAGTGATTGTATGATGTAGGGTAATTTATCTAAAATATGTATGTACTTAGAAATATATAAGTATGTTTATCAGCAGTCTGGTTACCCACAAGCTCTGCCTAGTTTGGGATCAGACGGCCGTGTGTGAGACGTGTGACGTTATTATTATTATTATAAATAAACAAACAACCTCTCCAGCTTTATAATATTAGTTTAGATAATATGTCCTACATAACTAATACTCGTAACTCCTATTTTTGTTTCTTCTTTCGTCGTATCAAGTAAGGTTGTGCCGCGCTTGATACATCGAAAGGAGCGAGTTGCATAATAACTTTAATGCCTACTACTACTACCTACTTTGTTTCATGGTTCAAATGGCTTTCTTTGCAAATCGTTTGTAAGTATTGCATGCAATACATGTATTGTTTCATGCTTATTCATTATGAACTAGCCATCCATTCCAATTTCAAAAACACTATAAATACAATCGATTTGTTGAACTATATCAAAATATTCCACATCGACTTATACATAGGTGTATAGATTACATATCTATGTCTAAGTATGATATCATAATTGTGAAATAATGTGAAAAATATCTACCACATACACACAATCTTATAAAACTCATACTCGATTTTATTAATATAATAGCCAGTTTATTATATTGGTATTGCTATATTAATCTTGATATACATACGGTTAGACCCGTTTTTATATATAAGACTTATAGCTTAAGTTACCCTGGCTTACTCGCATTATCTGTTTTCTCTACCAAAATTTACTTTCTTCCTTCGTTCGTCTGTAAAGCTTACATACCCAAAGAAGCTTGGCATCAGACAGCCAACAGCCCACAAAAAAGACCTTCTTAACAAGCAATCTTACACATTGCCTACTCTATATACAACTGGGAATAGGGCCAGGAAATTATGATGATGATCATAAAAGGTAACGTATTTGTAACTTTGTTATACACATCTCTATAGACAGATAGTTATAAAAACAATAAGTACAAGGAATAATAACTACAGCTTATACCTGCAATCAGAAAATAATGAGGTCATTACATTGTCTCGTATTTTGCAAATAAAGTCGGTCAACAAAACAGTTTAATACTATAATGACTTGTAATTTTACCGACATTTATCAACGATGATGTTTTCTGCGTCTTTTCAAAGATTTTTGTTCATAATCTATCCACATATTATGTGTGCACACATGCACACTTTGCTAACTATAAATTTAGCTCCGCTAACGTTAAAAGTGGCAAACCTACAGCCTTCAACTGGGCACATACCTACATTAGTTCTAAATAAATATACAGAATATATATAAATTACACCCTGACACAGAACACTTACAAACAACATTTACAAAGTTTTCTAGGTAGGTAAGTCTAGTCTTATTTTTTTTAACTGTCAAAGCGAAGTGATTTGACGATAAAACGTATGACGTCACACGTTGTTATTCCGAACAAGTTTCTACAGAACCATGTTGACGTTTAATAAAGAGGAAATCATTTGATTACTACTCTACTAATTAAAGTACATCCTGATGATGACATGGCGTCACTAACAATAGCTTCACGTGTCAGACAATAATATTATTTAGCCGTGCGCTATTCTAATTCCTACTTGGCATGTTTTATGTTTTTCACAGCATACGAAAACATTCGAAATCTTTATCTTTTTTAAAACAAACGAATAATATTTTAACGGTTTTGAAATTTAACAAAGAACTGCTTATTTGTTTATTTTATTGTTATCTACAATCGTTTTTTTCAATACACGAATATTGATCTAACAAAAGAACTTTTGACCGTCATTTACTGAGCATGACTAAAGACTATTTTAGAAAACAATTACCATTTTTAAAACATTTCTGAAACAAAAACCCTCTTTTTAATACACACGTTTACAGAGCGTATAGAGAACGAAATATTCAATTTGCACAAGTAAGCATTTAATTTTAATATTTCATTCGTTTACAGGAAAATGTTAGGAAACAATTTATCGTTAAATTTTTGATGTACGCGCATACGACATCTAACAGTCTTGGTAACCAATCGTAGCGCGTTCATAGTAGAGTGATTCTTTTTAAATTGTATAAATTGAGCAATACATCATTAGTAAAAAAAGTATATTAGCACATTTACATACTTTTATAACAATATATATATGTATATAAAAATATTTAGTTAAAAAAACTTAATAAACTTAAAAAACAAAAATAGTTCTGCACCAAGCTCAAGTTTTGAAATAATAACATTTAATATAATTTAGAATACAAGGGAAACGACATTTCTTTCCCGAATTTTGATTTACCCAATTTGGGTAAAATGAATGTTGTAATGTAAAAATCGTGTAACCCTCAGTATATTCAAACTGATAACAACCTACCGTTACTTGACGGGGGCTAAAGTGGTGGTAGTAACTACATAATGGTTGCCATTTAGCAATAAAGTAGACTATCATTAAAACCCCTGAATAAAACACTTAGTAGCTCAATAGGCAATTTGCTTAATTTCAATATATATAACTCAACATTTTAATGACATTCTAAATTTCAATTAAACATGTGTATGTTATACACCACATCATGCTTGTATCATATACGGTGCCATATTGTTTTCAAATTTTCTCCTTAAGCTTGTAAAATAAATAAAAGAAGTTCAATCTAAAACAAATTTAAATTATAGGTAATAGGAACAATTTGTATAGCCATTATACAATTACTATAAATGACAAAAAAAATACATTTGATATGCACTACATAGTTATATGAAACAGTGCAAGTCGTCGGATGCCTCAAAAATGTAACTAGCTTATAAAATGTTTGAAGATAAGCGGCTTATTTGTCATTACCTGTATAATACTATACATACACAATGTTCATACACACCCATAGACAATTTATCGCCATTAAGTGCCAGAAGGTTGGCAGTCACGTTAATTAGCCTTCTCTGTTATCATTTGGATGTTAATTTCATTCGCTGGTATATTAACGCATGTTAGAATGTTAAGTTCTGTTTAAATACAAAAAGTTTTGCACAATAAATAATGAGAACATTTCGAGTTTACTATTTAAATTTAGCAAATTTTTGTATTTTTATTTTATTTTAACATTTGATGTTTGAATACTATTCTACAACGCCTGTGTTTGGTAAAACTGGGCTAACACGTTACTTTTGTAATAAATACTCTGTGTTAAGCAAAAACCAATGCTATAAAAAGTATTTCCTTCGTCTGCGGTATTTACGCTCTTTTCTTGAAGGCTTGAAAACCTTCAAGAAAAGAGCTTACTCCTTCGTAAAAGGCCAGCAACGCGTTTGTGAGATCTGAGTTGCAGACGTTCATTTGCGGCGTTGGTCAATTTCCATCAGCTCGTTTGCCCATTCTAACATAAAAAAAAACAACACATCAAGCCACAAATGCCAGTTTAGAAAATCGAACTCTGATTGTGTATAATCTACTAGTATCATCTAAGGATTTCAGTGTATCTTAATCTTAGGCAAAAATGAAATTATACTTTAAAAGTAGCAATAACAACTACATCATTATACAACATTTGTTACCTACATAAAAAATTAAAAAACCTGTATTGCTTAAATCGTTCCTAATATTCGTTTTATGTCGCCTTCCTTCCCCTATATTCAAGTTGACATCATCGTCTCAGACGAAAGACGTCCACTGCTGGACATAGGCCTCCTCCAAGGTTCGCCATAACTCTAGTTTTAATAGCGGAGCTTTGCCATAATCGCCACGCTTGGCATAACTAACCCAAACCAATAAATAAATAAACCAGGAACCCAGGGCCCTACTCCACCGTAACCTACTGATGAAATGAATAAATCAGCTGATATGGATTAATACAAAAGGTGCAGATTGCTATAGATCTATGACCTCCGCAGTGACTATCATCTAGTGTTTGGGAAATTGTATATGGACCTCCACAAAAAAGGAGATCTATAAAAGTACTCTTACAATAGAAATAGTTTCTTGATATTCACATTCCAACGCCAATAAAGGCACTTCTTTTACGTAACATTAAATTAAAATTATAATTTGTACTTAAAAATTCCTTCTGCCTTGTCGCCTTCGTGCCGTTTTTTAATGTATTATATAAAATTAATTATTATTTGCATATCATTAACATGGTATGCTAATATTTATTAATGCTTTTATTATGGTTACTGAGTTCTTCATTTGTATTCAAATTTACCAGCAAGTTAATTCAGTTAAGCAAATTAATGAAAAAAATAAGACATAAAAATCTATTACTAAACAATTTTTTTAATTATTTAAAAGCTGATTGTAATACTAATTATATTTATTCCTAGCAGTTTACCTATTAGTTTTAGACGATTTAGACTATGCCACAGAATAATCAACATAACGACAATATCAGATACCAATCCATCAAAAAAATCCATCGAATTTCAATATTTTATTTTATATTTTTACTTTTTTTCTCAATTAAAATTAAAAAAAAACTATTATTTTTACCAATAATTGATGTTCTATATAATAAAGGGAGTTCAGAAAATTTTATAGACAATGCAATCGCTTTTATTCAACGTATGATAAGAGAATAAAGCACAGATAACAAAATACGGTGCAAATAAATATGTCGCAATACAATTGCGCTGGACAATAATTAAACGAATACTACATTTATTACGTTTAACTTACCACAAAAATAGCTGTTATACACAACAGCATGTATTTAATGCACTTCATTCCGAATTCTAGATTGTTCTGCGCCATTTTTTTTTACACAGCACTAGTATTGTTTCCGACTCGATAATCCACCGTGTACTGAAGTTTTTCACTCAAATGTTATCACTTGATAACGTAACGCTCTCTGTCTATGTCAAGCTATGACTGTTGGATATTATTTAGAGGCAAAGGAAACACGTCGATTTTCTTTCAGCCAATTACCGCGTCTGCTTTAAACGCTAATGTAATAGGTAAATAATACGTCACGCCACTGCGCGTTGAATGTTTAAATTGTGGTACTTGTGTATGACAGCACAGTAATAGTTGGTTATTGTATAATAATTATACTCATTTTCGTAATAATTATGTATGTATTTCTACTTATGTTGATTTCTTTGAACGTTTTACTTGTGTAAATGCCATTAAAACCTATTTTATTAATATATTATATTTTAAAATTGCAAATAGTTAAAAGACTACTAGTACTACTACACTACTAAATACTGTTGTAAGCGCTAAGCTAAGCTATGATCATGGATGAACTCAATGGCACTCGCCACATTACCGAAATATCGAAAACTAATTCCCGAAACTAAACGTGGTAAATATTCCGTTTATAATAACTAAAGTGGTAGTTTGTCTCAATGAAAATAGTTATTATTGTAGACCATCAAATTCAAATTATTTGTCTTTTACTCGTAGACTATAATGTCGTAGATCAACACATACACAATAGCAAAAATCTCTGTTTTGTCAAATCATCATCATCAACAGCCTATACTAGTCCACTGCTGGACATAGGCCTCTCCTTAGAAAGGAGGTTTGAGGTTTTGTCAAATAGTAAGGAATTATTTTTAAAAATAATTATGCTTATACAAAATCTATAATATGCCTTTTTTAACGTGTGGAAACCCCCTCGGGCCGTCACCCCACTGGGTTTTATGGCGAGGTGGTGTGTCGGAATCGGACCGACTAAAACCACACGGTGTGCCACTCTGCACCTGTAATAGGAGGGATTCGGAAACTGCTGTTATTAAGACATCCGGATCCCTCCTAACGGCGCGGGCACCACCTTCGGGTACATTCTCTATTTAGAACACGTCCGGCACACGCGGACATCGGTTTATGGTTCGTCGGTACTTCCGCCGTGGAGCGCCTCCAGCAATACCAGCACGAGGAGCCTCCAGCCGGGACCGCCAACGAGCCATTGCGGCTCGACGAGCGGCTTCACGCCACTCACGTACTTCACGAACTCAGTCGTCCTCCAATATACTTCGGCGAGCACTTCCGTCTCCAAGTCCCACGGGGTAGTTCTGGCCAACGCGCACGCTGCCTCCGTCAACACGGTTCGGTAACCACGTGTGGCTCTAACCGCCAATAGCCTCTGAGGATACCAAAGACGTGCTCTATTTTGGGCGGTCAGAGCCGCTGCGCACACCGGTGCGTCAGTGCCATTGACCGGACAACCCCCATGTACAGCCGTCTCATTGCGACGCTGGGTTCACCCAGATTAGGCAAAAGTCGCCCAAGGGCAGACGCAGCGCCGACCAGCTTTGAAGCAAGCTGTCGGAAGTGCTTGTCGCTGCCTTAGTGGGTTCGATTCCCAGACCGGCCAAAATTTTATAGGATCTTTCTGAGAGGAAACCTAAGTTACTGCTTATATAGACAGCTACCTGGTAGTAAAATATTATCAAAATCGGTCTAGCCGATAGTTATCATGCAAATAACCGTGTGAGTATGAAAAAACCTGTTATTTTGACATTACAAACAGACACTTCAATTTAATTTATTTGAATAGATAAATGCACCTACAATGTGCTACAGCGAAGCATGGCAGGACACATCTAGTTATAAATATAATACTTAATTGTTACTTTGTTGTTTTTACCACTTTCACACAACGCCATCGAGTCCCAAACTAAGCAGAGTACTATGGGTACTAGACAATTAATATAAATACATACATACTTTTTTTGTAAATACATACATATTATACACAGAAACACCCAGACCAAATCAAACATTAAATGTTCATGCACACAAATGTTTGACTTAAGGGGGAATCTAACCCGCGACTTTTGGAACAGCAGTCCTTTACACAAACCACTACGCCATCCGGTCGCCGTCCGGGCGTCATCTACAACTTATTATGCTAGTGTTGATCAGTGTCATAAGGCTAAAATTCCGCAGACTTTTCCTGCTATCAAGTTTCTATATGAGAGTCATTGAAACTATAATATGGCCGACGACCTTTCTTGATAGTCAATAAGTATGTGTAATGTATTTGTAGTTACTGTGATATTTATTACGTAGTGTGATAAAATGTTAGAAATATACGGGCACAAAAAAGTAAATTTATTAACTGATAAGTAGTTCAAAACGTATATATGTTATATTGGAGTTCGATACTTTTATTTAATTAATATAAATCATAATATTCTACCACATTCACACAACGCCATCTAGTTCCAAACTAAGAGAGAGAATAGATTAAAGTTAAGAAAAATAAAACAAGAAAACACTTAATCAGTTATTACGACGATTAATTATCACGGCCCTGTTGGTCTGACTTAGCCAGAGGTTGTGGACTCGATTTTCACCCAGGACAAATAATGGTGTGATGATCACAATCAATCCTTCTGTGTGCGCATGTAGTTTATCTACAATATGTATTAAAAATATTTATGTACATATGTTTATCAGCAGTCTGGTTGCCATGGCTCTGCCTAGTTTGGGATCAGAACGTAGAGTGTAAGATGTGTGAGTTAATCATTATTATTAATTATCTGTCGTCTATGTCTATACGTTTATGAAATTTAACCACGCTTCTCTATAATTTACTGAATAATCTCTACTGCTGCAGCAGTGACATGTCAGTGAGTGTGTACTTACTTGAGAGTGTCTACTTACTCTAGAAGAGATAGAGGAAAAAGCCCTGCGTCAATCGAAACAGAAAAGTCTACATACATTTTATTTTCCATAGACAAATGGTGTATGTGTTTGGCCTTGAACGCCGACACGTTTTGGGAAGGGCAGCTCTGCACTCTAGTCTATTGCTCAAGGCCCCAACTACACATCGATCGATGTGTAACTGACCGTTAGTAAAAAACGACCTCGACTTACCCAAACTTACCTTACTTACCCAGACTTACCCTAACTTATCTTATCAGAAAACTTTAGAGAACTTAACTTATGATGTTGGGCTTATCACATTATTTTTAATTTTTAATAACTTAGCCCTCTTGTCTGATATATTGTCATTAAAAAGTTTTTGTTATTAAAGAGTTTACTAAAAAGTTAAAGTTTCTCTGAATAATCCGGGTCCTTTTCTTCAAAAGGAAATATTATTACAGATAATTTCCGATAAGATCTTGACACACTTTTAAATTATTTTTAATGGCAACGCTAAACGATAATTAAGTAACTAATAAAATTGGTTTGGTATTTGAATTAGAAGCCTATCTTTTTAAAATCTAATAAATAAATAAATGTTAAACTACAATGATGAGAAGTAACTAAATCAATATGACAGACAACATTATTTCTTTAATTATTTCGTTAGGCAAAAATAACAAATATGGCACTACAGATGGGAAATGGGTACGCCTAGGTAGGTAATAAGAATGTGTTTAGTTTATTTGGCTATCTCATTAATCTAGCTTGGTCGACCCGTATGGTTTTCGTTCACACCATACCATAAAGTCGAGTAGATCGACCTTTTTAACATTGTATAGTATATTTTACACTCTTGTTGTCCATAGATTTTATCTTTGTGCTTTGAACACGCATGCATGACGGGGGCCTGTTTTTAGGACAGTCAGACATCTGTTGTTTAAAATAGAGGCTAAAATAGCATGCTATTGAACCACCTTTATGATTACAAATTAGTTTTCCTACTAGAAGGTAGGTCCAGTATAATTTAATATTTGAGAGTGCTAGAATTTCTAATATCACATCACATCATCAACAGCCTTTAATAGTCCACTGCTGGACATAGGCCTCTCCTTAGAAAAAAGCTTTTGGGCTACTATACCACTTTGGCCAGATGGGTTGGTATAGGGTTTGTGTCAAGTCCTTCTCTTTGCAGTGCTGTTGCCTTGCGTAGTTTGCGCCCTTAGTCGGCTCTTACGATACCCACGGGATGAATAGGGGTGGTTCTAATATCATATCACAAAAATATAAACCACCAATGTAATGAAAGCTGTTTATAGTTCCCTGTTAATAAAAATATAAATATATCCACATTAAATGATTATAATATCTACTATAGGTCGTCGGTTATATTATTGTTTCAATTACTGTTTTATTTTTTATTCCCCGACAATATCAAGTTCATTTTTATTTCTCGGTTCAAGTCATTCACCTTTAGTACGTGAACTTAGTAGATAACAGTTTCACTAAACGTGCAGAATATTCACCTCAAGGTAAGTGACTACCGCCGCCCATGATCACCTTCAACTCGAGAGCCACCGTTGTCGCCTTTTGAGTCCCTCCCCCCCTAGAATCACGGGAAGGTTTGGGCTCCGGTAACCTTCCTCACTCGGTGAAAAGCAAATAAACATCATCAACAACCTCAATTTGTCCACTGCTGGACATTGGCCTCTCGTTAGAAAGGAGGTTTGATCTACTATAAAACGCGAACCAGAAGGGTCGGTATAGAGTTCGTGTCGAGTTTTCCTTCTCTTTGCAATGCTGTTGTCCTGCGTAGTTTGCTCCCTTAGTCGGCTCTTACGAGGCTCACAGGATGAATACGGGTGATAAAACTCTGTTTTCTTAGTCCGTCACCACACAGACAAGTACTACAACTATTAATACTGATTTCTTGGGTGAATCATCCTTACAGTGTTTCAGTGTCTTATAACACACTCATTTCCACACCACCCTAAGGTAGACTGGTAGAGAATGCCTATGGCATTAAGTCCGCCATTGTACTTATGTGCATAAAGTTGATAAATAAATAAATAAATAAAATAATGCCTTTAAATTCTCCGAGAGTCAAGTTAGTAACTTTAACAAAAAAAAAAAAATTTATTATTTGCCAATCGAGTAACAAAACTCATAGAGTTAGTAACAATTTCACTTATAGCTATGTTAGTAAAAATAAATAATAATCACAACGAACACAATGTGGTGAAACCGATACATAACATAGCACATAGGTAGGTATTATGCTGCAAGTCCAGCAGAAAGTCTGCAACACCGGTTCACGATCGCGCAATCCATTCGGCTATAGTTAAACCGCCGTAAGCTTGGCCCTCCTGATGGTTTGCGGGACGCGGGGCGGGTGATGCGCTCGGCTATACATGACACGATGTACTAACTCGATATCTTCAGATTTATTTGTTGAGAGATTTAATCTACACACGATGTAATAAAAATCGAATTTATTTCCATGTATTATAATGTCAGTGTATTGTAAGTTTTTATGATTAATTGTAAAATTTAATACTGTAAAATAATTTAAATAAAATCACCTTATCTTCATCATGTAAATTATATTCGGATAAAATTTAAAAATTAAGTAAATATTCTTTATTAGAACTTTAACAGTAGAACCTCTGTAAGTCGAACTTCAAGTCTTTTCTTTTTGTGACGCAGAGTCGGCAGATTATCCATGTTGCAAAATAATACCGTGTGTAGCAGTCTCAAGAAAAATAACACGTACAGCCATACTTTCACGTCAGTCACTGCCGGCGGACAGCGACGCACTAGCTAATTGGTTGAATGCACCCCCGCCCCGCGTCGCCCAAACCATCAGGAGGGCCAAGCTTACGACGGTTTAACTATAGAGATCATTTTTAGAATGCCGTTGGTGCTGCTCCGCACCCTGCGTACCAGGGACGCGCACCTCTTACGCATTACTGTATAAAAGCAATCAATGCAGGCTTCTGCAAACATCCCTGAAGCACTACACTGACGACCGGATGGCGTAGTGGTTTGTGTAACGGACTGCTATTCCAAAGGTCGCAGGTTCGATGCCGCTCAAGGCAAACATTTGTGTGCATGCACATGTAATGTTTGATTTGGTCTGGGTGTTTCTAAGTATAGTATGTATATTTTTATAAAAATAGTACCCACAGTACAAGCTCTGCTTAGTTTAGGACTAGATGGTGTTGTGTGATTGTGGTAGAATGTTAAATATTATATTATATATTACAGAAACGTGGCAACACTATCAGGTAACACTAAAAAAAACTTGTATAAAACTAGATTTGATCATTTAAACCGTTCCTTATATACGTAATATACTCGTATGTTTCCAACACCTACTTTTTTATTTAGAGTAGAGTTAGTTTAAAGGCCTCCTATATTGCACAAGAAGGTGATAGTAATAAGCTTTAAAAACTGACGCGAATAAATAAAATGTAAGCCGCATCAAAGAATATTGTTATGATATGTTGCGGTTGATTATGGTAGTTATGACAATTGTATATGTAACACATAACTATCTCTTATTGCAGGAAACATTAGCATTTATAAATTTTCACTGGACGCAAGCTCACAGTCCTTGGCCACTTACAAGCTAAATTGAACGTGATCTCTAGGTCTCGTTTAACTGTGTAGTCCTTTATTGTGCAGCTCCTACATCCCTGCCTTAGTTTTATGGATTCCTTTGGATTTGGGGCTCTTGGGTGACGCCATCGCGGCAAAGTAGGAGCCAGGAGTATGTAGTGCTTCCACTAAAAACTACCCTACGGCCGCCTCAGGCTCACTATTTCGTTGAGGACTCTGACCAAGTGATTTCAAGACCCCTCCCCAGAATCAACGTCACGCCTTTCCGTACCCGGGAAATCTCTGCCTTACCTAAAGATATTGAAAATGAAATCAGTAGACAGGCTAACAATGTTTGATTCAGTATACTGACACAACGACTAAGTATGTACGAGTAATAGTAGAGCGACGCCATTGCATTGGAACTTTCAGTAAGAAAATAATCTTTCAATAAACATTTCACCTCAAAGTTGGAAAAATGAAAATACAGTGGGAAGTATTGTTATACTGCACGTGACTACGACACGTGTATATTATTTTTCTCAAATAACTGCTAACCGACATGATGCATCATGTTCTTCGCGCGCCTCCCTCGTGTTAGCGCGTTTGATCTGAAAAATAGTCTGATAAACGTTAATTTGTTTCATTTTTGAAATGCTTTTCTCGATTTCCTTTTAATCTAATCGATCTTTCTAGTTCAAGGTTACTATTTTCTTAAACTGTGTCAGGATATGAATTCAAATATTTATGAGCATCCTTTTCATGATGATTCTATCTTGATGTTTATTATTTGATGATATAAATATAGGCATAACACTAATTTCGTAAAAATATTCCAGTTGCAAACATTTGTACGATTCTCGTCATGTAAACAAATTGGCGAGATAAAAAAGGCGAAACAAATAAAAGAATGTTGTGCTTACTTTTCCGCCGCAGATTTATTAGAGATTTTGTTTTTCATATGTTCGAAGGCGCTAATCTAAGGAGATAGCTATCTATATAATAACCTCACACCTTACACATCTCACACACGGCTGTCTGATCCAAACTAGGCAGAGCCTGTACTATGGTTTTCATTTATTTACACATTTACAATATTTCTAGGAAATATTTAAAAAAAAATATGGGTACGAAAAAAACCCTTGTCATTTAGGGGTATGAAAAATAGACGTTGGCTGATTCTCAGACCTACCCGATGTGCACACAAAATTTCATAAAAATCGGTCCAGCCGTTTCGGAGGAGTACTTGAACGAACATTGTGACACGAGAATTTTATATATAAGATAATATAAGGATGGAAGTATGAAACAATGTTGTTGTAAAATAGAAAACAAAAGTCTGTGGTGGAATTTAAATATTTTTTGCTTTTCATTGTCCAAAATACTTGATTAAGGTAGGTTACTATCTGGCGTGATCCATGAATAAGAAAGGCTCGTCTGAATCGCAAGCGCGCAAACTTGTCATGCCTGCTTTACTTTTCCAGCAACGGTCAACCTTACCGATGCCCTCGAACCAATAATATTGAAAATCTTCTGGGAAACGGAAGAGTATTCGTCTTCTCCGTTACCCTTTACTGTCATAAATGCTAATACAGGGAGTAAATGTGGCCATTAATCAGTCAGAAAACGAATGGCATTATGGTCCTCTGGGAATAAGTTCCGTAGTGCAAGTAAAGTTATTACTAAAACACATCCGTGCAGGATAGCGTAGTGGTTTACGCCGAGTGTTGTGGTTTCAAACCCCACATGGTACGACACTTTGTGTGATCCACAAATTGTTGTTCTGAGTCTGGGTATTCTTTGTGTCCGTTTCATGTATGTTTGTAGTCCCCCGCGACACAAGGTACATTCCTACTGCGGGAGCTGTCTTTTAAAAAAAAAAAAGAGTTTTCTTAAAGCCTTTATTTTTAAATTATGTTACAATTACCTAAACATCAACTAAAGATTTTTGGTAAACATATTTTACAAGCACTAATATTAAAACAATGGATTAAACTAAATAAATAAATAACATGAAGGCCATAAACTGTAGACCTATGCATCCTGAGACCGTTATGATTGAATGAATACTGAATACCGTAAATTATAGCTGCGATGTATTAAAAAAAATATGCTTATAAGCAATACTTAGTACTTAATTATTATATTATGTATCTATATTGACTCATTTTAGCCTTCTAGACTTTTCTACTTTTGTTTTTTTTTTAAACCTATGACAACACTTTTTAAAATAAGTTTTTGAATTTAGTAAGTCAAATAAAAAAAACTTTTTTTATTTTTTATTTAATATTGTCTGTCGTACTCGTAACAAATGACATTAAAATAACAACAATTTAAGTGATCCACGTGAGTGTTCAACTGTCGGAAAATGATATGTCGGCATTTCTACGAATAATACTTTTAAATTACATTTACCTTTCAACATATTTACAAAACCATCACAAATCAGAATTAATGACTATTTTCTGACATGAGGTAGTTACTCTATAAATTAATTAAAGTAAGTACAATGGGTCAGCAAGTTGAAATGGTGTTGGGCCTCATAGCACACAGAACAGATGGCCGAAGCGCCACGTAGTATGTCATAAAAATAGTGTTCGGTGAATGCGGGTTTCAGTTAGGATATTTGGCTGTTCTTGGAAGTCATTTGCCGGCCGTTCTATGCGCAATAGTAGATTGACTAGCACTGACTAAGATGGTGAAGAAATATAAATGTAATATCCGAGTATGTTGTACTATATGTCACATATAAATTTGGACCTAATATGTATTGCTATTAATATTTCTGCAGGAATATTTGAACACATTAAGCTTAATTAATTAAAATTGAATAACACAAAAGTTATATTTTAACTTAAGTTAATTAAAGTAAGCTATACTCGCTAAACATAATGATAATAGCAATATGTTTACGGTCTATGGTGTCCTTCTGGTTTTTGTAAATAAATAATAATAATAATTTATAAAGGTAATGCGCGTTCGTAATAATAATATTACAATAAAGAATGAACACGTTTGCCGAGACGCAAAACAATTTCCGTATAAATATTTATGACGGCAGTGAATAATCCAAAAAAAATAACACCTATAATCTTATCTAGTTATTCCAGTTACATCTTCAAGTAGTGCACATAAACTACATAAAATGTACCTTACGCTTTCATATTGAACGCTATAACAATTTGTTCATTAATAAATAACCGATCGATGGTCCTCGATGTAAGAATTTACTACATTATACATTTAAATGTTTAGGGATATGCTCCTCGCTCTTCTCTTGATATTTTGGCCATCCATAACGCTCCTGCCACAGCTAAAGCCTAGAAACGTAATTAAAGCATTATAATTTTGTACCGGTATTACCGTTAAGGATCGTTTTGGAAAGACATAAAAAACAAATAGGGTTCCTAATTTAATTTGCAATTAGTTGAATGGGTTTCATTTAAAAGGATTCTGTAGATTTGACAGTTTTTTTTTTTTCGAAGTTAAAATCTACACCTATTCTTAGGTAAGTGCGCATGTAGTGGGTTCGACAAATTTAATTAAAAACCATAAGAAGTAAAGTTGAAGTGCTGAACTTAATCGGTGTATTTAATAATAATAAATTGGGTAATATTAATTGAAAAAGCCCTTTACAAGTTGTAAACATAAGTTTTACTGCTTAAAATACGAGTATAAACCATTATATGTCAATATAACAAAAAAAATGCACATGTCTACAGACGAACAAGGTCACAAACTTGTATTTCGGCAAGCAGTGTAAAATAGACCATAATTTCAAGCTCAGAAATGCTAAATTACCTGCATTAATACTAGAAAAACACCAGCTGCACCGATACTGGCTGCATGCGACTGCACCCAGTTACCGAACGCCTCGGAACATCCGACGCGAGATGCAAAGTCGACTGTACAATTGAATGTTTGGACAGTTCCGTAAATATGATTACAGCAGCTGATTGGCAGACCATTTGTTTCCTGTGTGCCCAGGGGTATTATCCAATCGCTCGCGTTCACCACACCGCAGCATTCGAACTGAAAATAATTGAAATAAAAATCTATTTGTGTGTAAATTTACTTGGGATCGGCGGAACGTCTTTTTTATTTAAGTAAGAAAAACAGTATGGCATAAAAACATGAAACACCCATAAAACTCGTAATCGTTTAACTTGGGTGTAAGTTTGAATGTGTAATACTACAAAGAGTTTTTGGTTGACTTCTTTTATGCTTTTTAATGTAATGGTTATTAGATAAAACAAAGAAAAGATGTAAATAGGGGTAAGAAATACTGATGGCCGGAGGAAGCCTGTCGGGTGTCACAGGCGGCGATAGCCACTTACCATCAGAATATCCGTCTGTTCATTTACTCCCTAATTAAATGGAACCCATGAAAAAAGCTATGACACATTATTTTATTGTTGTGACCACGTATTCCTTATCATTGCGTCAAGGCTATGTGATTCTAGTTGAGTAGATAATTTTTCTATGAACACGGACACCTTGGTAACCTAAACTATTAATTATATAACCACCACGGTAAAGCAATCACTTAAACATGATTGTTCATGTTAAGCAATGAGTAATTAAAACGTGTAAAAAATTGACACGTGTACCACAATGTCTACATAAATATATGTGCGATAGTCTACAAGCCACTATTTCATTTTAAATTGCAATGATATTGTGTTTTTATATATGTATATGTTACCGGCTTTCTGTCTTATCCGGTATTGTATGCAATACATAAGCAATGCACAGAATACCTAAAACATTAAGGTAATGTATCAATTATTATTATTTTGTATTTTATAGAATACCGAATGAGCAGCCGGTAATGTGTATAAAAGACGAGAGCGGGTAAGGAGGAGACGGGGGGGGGGAGACATCTAACTCAAACGATTCACTAACAATAAAGATGTCTAGCGTTAACAGACACTATTTGAACCTAACCTAACCCAAATGATTCAATAACAGTAGCTGGTATCCGTGATTTGGCTAGATAGTTACACTTACATAATACTGTAATATACAGACCAAATCCATTTACTACACATGACCGGTAGAACACCAGGTGCTCTATACTGTCCCTGGGAATTGCGTGCATATCTTACGTGTCCAGGTAATTTATGAAATATTATAAATGTTTACGAGCCCGGTATTGTATGCATTGTCTAGGATATTACATTGTATAGAATACCCAAGTTAAACAGATTATCGGTAACACCTACGTAAATATAAAGAGTACTATCAACATCACGACCTTCCAGCCGTTCAATGAATAATACGATATTAAAATAGAAGTACACACACACACACAAACACACACATGCACACACATACACACACACACACTCACATACGCATACACACACACACACACTATCTTATATCTTTATATGATATATATTTAGTTTTTCTCTTAGCAACTGTACAACATACACAATAAATGCATTACTTTTTTTACTTTTTAATACTATCTGAAACTCACGGAAGGGACTGGACCCCACGACACAGGAAATCCTAGTGTGGGGGCCAGAGATATTTTGTTTTAGTACTTAAGTACTCATGTAATTGTGTAAGTGTAATAATATGTTGTGAACAATTTTTGCATAAATAAAGATTATTATTATTATTATTATTATTATTCATTCCTACTTCTGAATACACATACACAAAGAAACGCCCAATGTGTATTTTTGGTTCATTATTTTTACGTTCAATTGGTTTCACTAATTATGACATACAACGTCTCTGTCTGCGTTAATGCGTCTAAAATTCATGAGCCAATATACCAAAACACCAATTCAAATTCTTCTTCTTAAGATCATAGTTTTCTGACTGCTATAAAAGCCGATACTCTGTAGTCATAGGGAAAATAGTCGTATAATTTCTTTGCCACTTCTCGTCAGCTCATATAGTTAAATTGTTATTAAGATCCATCATGAAGGATGATCTTTAACTTCCTTTCCTTATTTGCACTTTGTTATTAAAGGTCACTATTATTGTGAGGATTGTGAGGAAGCTAAATTAAGGGTCTGATCCAGAAAGCAATACTTATCGATGCGTCACGTATGGTAAAACCTTCTCTCGGGAGCCCTAATCACAGTAACAATAAGGTAACTTAGCCCCAGAATCGATGGGTTACTATATTCTTATATTTTTCAATATTCTTTTTTGTATGTATTGTTAACTAATTTAAAAATGTAATTTATATGTATATTTAATGTAATAAATTGATTGCATTAATATTATGTTCTTAATTAATATTAAAGTTTATGGAATAATGTAGTCTTTAACTTACTTTCAATAAGGTTTACAGAGTAAAATGGTATACTTACATCCTCTTGTACTTGATCCCAAAGCCTTGTCACTTCAACGCTCCCGGCAGGACCATACAAGTCAAGGGTCGTCATAAGCTGCTGCTGCACCAACGGCACAGTATTACTCCTCAGAGCATATCCAGCGATGCATGCGGACAGTTGGAACACGAATATGAGAATCATGGCTGCCGCAAACTGGAAACATGGAGAACACATTGTCAGGTAATAGAGAATTAGTACATTTTGAATTCTTTAATCATAATTTAAAAGCCAGAGATATTCAAAATCTGTAATCGACCATCTAATGTTATTTTTCATACTTAGACTGAGGTCAAACACTAAAACGCGTACAAGTACTAACATACTGTTGATATTCCGGTAATATTCGTGTTCTCTTGCTATTTATCTATACATCTTTTAGTAGTGTATCAAAGTAGAGCCTCATTTTATTACCTTAGATGTAGCCCTTAAGATTGCCTTTACAGAGTTGACACAGAAGACGCCTTGCCAGGGTAAGACGCAGAATGATTAAACTTAACAGTCGTCATAGCACTTGTCAATTATAATAATAATAATAATTTCACTCATCTCACACACGGCCGTCTGATTCTAAACTAGGTAGAGCTAACCAGACTGCTGATAAACATAGTTATATATTTCTAAATACATACATATCATAGATAAATTAGACGCAGACACAGAACAAATGATCGTGCTCATCACACAATATTTGTCCCGGGTGGGAATCGAACAAACGACCTCCGGCTCAGCAGTCAGGGTCACTAACCACTAGACCAACAGGCCCGTCAATTAAGTGATACATGCTTAACAAACGTTGTAAAATTTTTATGGTTTTTTAATGTGCGTTTAATTATCACCTGCTTTGACTGTGACGTAACACATCAAGAAAACAACAAATACGAGGCAAACAAATGTTTGAAGTAGAATAAACGCTACTGAGGAAAGTTCATTTAACTCAAAGTTAGTGTTCCAAATGTTCTGGAGGTTAGATCAAAAGTTAGGCCGTCTGGCTTATGTAAAAGAGTTACTCACAGTAGAGAAAGCCCATTAGGCCTTATGTTTACTTTTATGGTATTTCAGCATCTAAGAGTATTTACAAATGTTCTCAATCATTTTAAAAAGTCTACCAAAGCTATCTAGAACCGCTATGCGATGCCTATACCTTTTGATTTATGTTCAAAAGTTACACTTCCCCACTTTCTTCCTTTAACTAATTAACTGGTCATCCTTTAATTTTAAACACACGTTGTCATATGCACAGAAAGGGACTTACAGTAAAAACAAGCAGAGCTACAAAAATATGTATTTTAAATTCTCAATACACAAAAAGTTAACCATTGAGATTTGCAATGATTCAGAGTCACTCATGCAAGTGTATCAGTTGATTATACTTACGAATACGATAATGGCCCACATATCATATACGTTGTAGAATTTAGGTATAAAATAGAGTACTTATTTGAAATGAGATCATGATCATGAAATCGATTTCACATAAAACACAGTTAGTTGTGTTTAACTTTGATTTGTTATGCATTTTTATTAATCATGAACCTTGACAGAAACACTATGTAAAGAAAATCATACAATGAGTAATGAACATTAATTAAACAAAAGAAATGTATTTAGAAATTAATAAAATACTTTTGTGTTGAACCTTCATAGTGCGTCCTTATAGTGGCTTACGCGTGGTCCGGTCAGAATAAGAACAGACTAGGATTTCCCTAAAACGTATGTAAACAGGTAGGAAGTGTAAATATTTTTACATTAAAAATTATATTTATCGATGACTATAAAATGTAAATTAGCAACACATATTAAAGCAGAGGACGCACTAGACATGCGCTAGCACTAAATGTTTAGAAATACGGGTACAATCCCAAATTTAAGGTTAAGGTTTGATGTGATTGATTTCTAAAGTGCTCGAATGTTTGTAGTGGGTGGTTACCGAGCTTATTTTATCTGCTACATGAAGAAAGCATGCAAGCGTCATCGTATAGAATATTTTTTATCTCTACGGTTTACCTACAAAAAGTAAACAAAAAAAAAAAGTACCTAAGTTTTATAGCAAACACATGTGTACATGATAGTCAACAACCTAATAGCAGCGGTGAACTGACGTGAACACACGTTAGTGTGTTAATAATAATTTATCAGAAGGTCAATGCGAAGGTTGGCCTAATTAAATACAGTCCTGGATCCAAAAATACACATAGGTAGTAATTTTTTTAAAGAAAAGATAGTGTTATGGTGTAACAGTTATTTTTTTAGTACGTACGTGCGTACGGATTTGCCAAAAGCGACATCTATTGCCCCCAGTCGCATTTTGTTTGATTTATCCTAGGTAGTTTATAGCTACAGTATTGATCTTCTTTGTTCGCTGTCGGACCACTAGATGGCGTTTGTTTGACATTACGTTTCATGACAAATTGTATAGGTATTAAGAGTGTTTTGTTAGGGTAGGAAGCAAGTTACTTTTGATTTTGTTCGTGTTGTCTTCGTTCATAATTTAAATGTCAAAGTAAAATGTTGAGCAGGGAGTATTTCTGGAAGCTTCGGAAACCGAACATATATAAGTCCGGCTTTCAGCCACGGGAGACACTCTGCTATCTCGTGTCTTCCAATCTTAAATAGTGTTTTGATTGTCGTGTGATTTGATTTTCGTAATATATTATCTGTTCAAAAGTACCCACGAAAGTGGTGAGTATGTTCTTAATTTTTTTTGTACCTATTTTTTTCTGGAACCTGATCAATAATATGAGTGCTAATCCATTCGTAGGGTCCCAGATTTCGGGGTCAAGACGGTCAGTCTCAAACGGCGTGCTTGGTCGTTGGTGGCCTTCTGGTTCAGATTCAAGTTTCTCGGTACCCTCTGGCAAGCTGGCGATTGCGCGGCTCACGAAGCAAGCGGACAGCCGTACCCAAGGGTTACGTACTTACTTATAAACTTATAAATACCAATTGTGAACTTTTCTCAATATCTAATATAAATAGCCGACTCGGGCGGATGGTGAAGTGACCTCCTGGAGTGAGGACGAGAAGGCTCCGAGCACCATCAGCTCGGCTCTAACGCGCTCCGCTGCGGTTTTTTTTTTCTCTTGTACCCACTGATTAATTTATTTATTTATTTTTATTGTAAATTAAATTAGGTTTTTTTTGAAATATACATGTATGTATAACTGAGGTGTAAGTTGTTTTCCTCTAGGGAATCCCGTAGGTTTCCCACACGCACACACATCTGTTCTCTTAAAAGGCGCCCTGAGGTTATCTCATAAATCTCTCCACTGGGTCAGCCGGTGAGTAGTCCGCCTGAGAAGAAAAGCGGCTACAATGGTACATTGATACGTACTGTTATAGTTCACTGAATATTTTACCCAAATGAAATATTATTGCATGCCTATGTGGTATAAACTAGTAGGTACCCCGCCGCGACACGAGCAGACGGGTCACCTGATGGAAACTGACTAGCGCCGCCCATGAACGCCTGCAACTCAGGAGTCACAAACGCGTTGCTGCCCTTTGGAAAAGGACTTTTCTTAAAAGTTTGAAGGTTGTGCTACGCAAAAAGTGTGTCTTAGGATTTGAGACGGAGCCCGCAACAGGAGCGGGCAGGCGCTAGGAGGGGTCCGGATGTCTCAATAACAGCTGTTCCCGGATCCCTCCTATTACAGGCGCAGAGTGGCACACCGTGTGGTTTAAGTCGGTCCGAGTCCGACACACCGCCCCGCCGCAAACCCCGGTGGGGTGACGGTCCGAGGGGATTTCCACACGTTAAAAAAAAAAAAGGCAAAAAGTGTGTCACACTGGTGGAGCGCCAATTATCCAAGTGATGGGGATGAAAATTTTGGAACGATGACGAAAGTTGCGGCCCGTATTAGTCCAAATATTTTTTTGGAGCACTCTCCATGTTATATACGATAGAGAATGCGGAGTGAAGTGGATTGGCGTTACGTAAAGGTGTAGCACCTTTACGTAACGCCAAGGGAGCGAGCCGATCGGAGATCTTTTGGCTATCTACGATAGTCGCTCTTCGTTTTGGAGAAGCTGGTACTGGAGTGCCTCTGCATAGATATGAGGACAGTATTCTATATGCGCCCGAAACTGTTTCTTATAGAGTTAGAGGCGGTGGGCCGAAGTGAAATAGTGCCCCGATCTGTTCAGCACACCGAGCTTCTTCGAAGCCAATTTAACCTTCATCCACAACCTTTACTAGTCCACTGCTGGACATAGGCCTCTACTTAGAAAGGAGGTTTTGACCTTACCCTCTAAGGAACCCAGAAGCCTCGATATGTCGATGCCTAAAAATCCGTGATTAGGTTGGTGCTCTCGAACCGAGGTGACACGACAAACGGTATCTTTTTTCGGTGAAAGGGCAAAAAAGTGTATTTTTAGGTTAAAATGGCATAGCAATAGATGCTACTAGTTTGCAACATGTCATTGATAAGCAGAAGAAACAATGTTGATGATAGCACACAGCCTTTCGGGACACAGCATTTACAGATTTGAAGTCAGAGCATGCACCGTTGATAACGACCTTAATGCTTCTGAATCCAAGGAAACTGGTGAGCCAGTTACATAATTTCTCGGGAAGTCCATAGGAAGGGAACTTCGAGAGAAGCGCCTTATTCCGAATCGAAGGCCTTCGCTATGTCCAAGCTAACCACACAAGCCTTCTATAGCGAAAACTATATAAATTGTCGGTCCATTGACCGGTCGGAATGAATTGTCGGGTGCACAAACGCTACCTTTCAGGAGTTCGGGACGATGCCTTGGGAATATGAGAGTCTGAAACTGGTGCCAACTCCGGAGCACACGTCTTCAACACGATAGGAGAGATTCTGTCAAGCCCACTCGACTTAAAGATATCGAGGGAAAAGAGTACTTACACACTGATTTTTTATAACTGGATTTTTGGCATACAGTTCCGGCACTGCAGTATGATAGGCAGTACGTTTACCCCCTGATCTACATCCAAGTTGGATGCAAAGAGTTCGCCTAGGAGATCGGCTTTCTCCTTCGCATCATAGGTCAATGAATTATCTCCTATCTGCAGGGGTGGAAGGGATTAACTATGTAATAAAAACACAAAATAAATTAGGCATACTAACCTCTGCTATCAGTGAGAAGCCGGAGCGGGTTGATGGTAAAAACTATTATTTATTTAACCGATCCCGTGTCATAGCGCCTCTATATTTTTCTAAATAAATCTCCATTGGTATTTAAACCTTACGTTTTATATATTTCTATTTCAGTACCATAGTTTACTTACATTGAGAATGTAAGACTCCAACTCTTTGAGTATTTTTTTTTATGTTAGAGAGGGCAGACGACCAGACGGGTCACCTGATGGAAAGTGACTATCGCCGCCCATGAACGTCTGTAACTCAGGAGTCACAAACGCGTTAGGAAAAGTCCCAGTTTAGGGGTGGAATACCAATAACAGACATAATATAACATTCCCGTATTCAATTTTTATTTACCGTTTTTCTATTAGAAGTTTATGTGAAACTATTAAACATCTAATTTTAAACAAAGTGCATGCGAATAACATACTCCCATAACTTGGCAATAAGTTTTTCTAACGCACAAAGAATGTAGCATATAATTATTACTGAATTTTATTATTAACAACACTTTATGGTGACCGTGTCATTAGTGTAATTTTCTTACTTAATTAACATAAGCACTTAAAAGTAGTCGACCATTTGCACTAGATCTAGCTATCGAGCCTTTCGGCGTATACAGTACAAACATTGGCCTGTGTAATCGTGCCAAGTCATTCGGTTAAAGAAATGATCTAATATTGATACACTTTTTATAAAATGTTAGTAGGTAACAAATTAGGTAACAATTAAATCTACATATAAGTAATTACAAAATCTAAAGAACAGAACTGAAATTGCCAAATATTTGAACTTGTTTGCTGTATTAGCTCATCACTAATTGATTTCATAATTTGAAGATTGTGTCTGCTAATGCATTTAATGAGCCAGTTCTTAAACTAAGTATACAAATTGCATGTAATTTTTTAATCCAACTATTTACTAACTCTACTACTCAAGTGTACTTCTAAAAAGGTGGCAACCCTAATAATGACTGACACAACCGGGCGCGCCATTTACCTACATACATAAAAAGATAAAAATAAAGAAATAGATAAAAATAAAGAGCTACAGATTTCATTGACTACTACTACTACTACTGACTAAAAGAACTACTATTACTTTTAGTCTTACATAAAGTATTTAGACATAACTTATATCCTACGCCTAAGATAAGAAGGAAATTAAAGAGTCGAGAAGCAGTAATTTATTTACTTAGTTGCAGTAAGCTCAGATCAAATAAAAAAGTTAAAATTAAAACTACGGTGTGGACATACACAATTACACGCACACGCGTACGACAAAGCTTCTCCTTGTCGGTCAATATTTACAAGTAGAAATGCCGAATTGTGTTGTAAAAGGGTGTAAAAATCAAACTAAGAGAAATAGATAGTAGGATGGTACCGCATTTCACATAAGGTAAGCGTAGAAATTCAAAAAAATAAAATAATGATGGCAGCACCGGCTTTATTAAACCGGCGTCACTTCGTTCTTCGCAAAGTTCCATGTAGATTTTTTAATTCATCTGAGGTAGTAAATATGAAAGTATTTGTATGAAACTCCAGGTTTATAACTGACGGATAGATAAGGACACACACGGTTAAAACCACTGGCCGTTGTATCAATAAAAAAGAAATTATGTTATATTGGCTAATAATGTCAAACTAACTAAAATTAAACTGAAATTTCTTATCACCTATGCACCTGTTTAATGTAGTTCAAACATAACTAAAAGATAACTAGTTTTTTTATTCCTCACAATAATATTACGAAGGTTTATAAAACAAATAGTTTAAATCCAGTAATTACAAAACGAATTACGTTCCCATTTACTTTGTTGCGTATCTTAAGAGATTAATAATCAGGTAACAATTTATTACAACGTGACATTTCTCTGGGCGCTATGTCAATTTTAATGGCGCGAAAATAGGGCACCCGGCTTGGTACCTATTCAGAGAGTTTATACTACTTGGCTAATTTTATACGTCCCGGACCAGACAAATACGAGTTTATGTCAAAAACGTTATGTTCCGACAAATAATGATGTAACGTAACATCGTCGCAATCATGATAATTATGTTTACAATAGTGATGGAGATGTTTACCTTGCAAGACGATTATGTATTAAGTATTTTATAGAATAAAGACGTTGACATATACCAAAATGTATTTCAGTAGATAAATGCAAAACAAGTTTCATGAGCCGTCTATTATCAGCTTCAATTAACACCAATTACTCCAATGTTCATAGCCATCAAAATAGTCTATGACTCTATGAGGTAACATACACTTTCACGGTCGTTCACTAATGTTGAGATATAAAAAAACACTTACCGCCATATTCATAATGTAGTTCTCTGTGTAGGCTCCATAGAATCCAAAAAATGCGATCAGGAATATAATAACACCGGTTGCGATGCAGAACGCTGGCAGTGAGAAAAATCTCTCAGATAAGAACGGATGGTAACCATTGTAAGCAGATTGTACCGAAGCGCCGACCGACAGAACTATAATACCAGTGATCTGCAAATTTTACATGTCAAACTAAGATTGATCACCCACTTGCAATAAATGTTTTACTATAATCTACTTTCTTACCAGAAATATAAAATTAACCGTCACTAATGTGTATTTCACAGTTGTAAACAGTTTTGACCACATTTTTGCTGTTAAACTGTTTAATTTGCTACGTGCACACTCTTGTGACAGCTTCCACAGTCGTAATTTTAACTGGATGAAGATATTTTTATCACTATAGGTAGGTACATTAATCTTGATAAGAAAAACAAGCGGTTTTATCAGACGCGTACGTCGTTCACTCTCAAGCACAAAAGATCACAGACTGAACTGAAACATGTTGTGCTATTATAGATGCCACTTCACTATAGTTTAAAACTGTTTTATTTTTTTTATTCATCCTTTTGTTTTTTACACAATGGTTTCACGCATAATTTGCAATTGATATGATAGTATAAGGTTATTTTTACCGAAGTCGTTGCTCAGTAATTGTGGCAATGTTACTGTCTACAACTACCTACCGATAAGAAAATACAGGCCTGTAACGTTTTTGCAATTTTAATTTAGTTTTAGTATGCACGTTTTTGTGTGTGTTTAGTTGGTCTTAAATTGTCATATCTACACGTTAATGACTAGTCACCTAGATAACATTTTCACAATCGTACTTGAGTAACTTTATTTTCTAGAATAATTAATTAATTTGTATTCTACTAAATTCTTTAACAGATATATACTCCTTACTCCATTCTTCGGCATTCTTCTAGTTGTGTACTACCGAAATGAAGAACTTTAGACAGTGAAAATGTGTATTTAAACGTATATATATATACTTTTAAACTCAAATTTTAGACAGTGAAAATAAAAGATTTAATGTAAAATGCAGAGTCATCAATAAACTTCAAAACAAATATAAGGTTTTTTTTTGTTAAAATCTTTTATTCCTTGTTCTCAATTACAAAGAATGAATGCATCAATATCTCAATGCAGACTTTATTTTGGATTTAGACTAGATCATTAGGCATAGCACTACACCCTTCACATTAGGTCTACTAAATATTAAAGTTATCGTCAGTTGATTTTACAAACTCTTTTCATCTTTAGCTGGCGGTTGGTGGTAAAGGTTCACATATTGCAAAGTTAAGCAATCCTAGTCAGGTCAGTTTATGAATGGGCGTCCATTGGCTACACTTTGAGACCCCTCTGTGGCACGACAAGGACGTTAAGCCGTCGGTCCCGGTTACCACACAAACGAGATGTTCGAACCGGGTTACTGGTAGTTGGAGCTAAAAGTCCAACAACAGTCTGTCACAGAACTTCAATATCGCCTGCTTGTTCGTTCAAAAATCGAAGTTCAGCTGTATAGTAGTATACTTAAAGACGAACCCAACAAGAGACAAACTCTTTTCATCTTCATATACTTAAACCTCTTTTTCCTATTTTTGGTTGCACTGCAATAATATTCCTCTTACCTTCGTAGACGATGACGTCAGCAGTCTCACGTTGATGAATCATCATAGAGGTAACGATATCAAGATTGTGTTGATCATAATGAAAGCATAGTGTTCTCCTTGAATAGAGACGACGATTATTTTGTTATTGTCATAGTTTCAATAGTTTGTGACGCCATTACAATTGTTATATTCCCAAATGATGTATTTGCGGTCCCCTGCGATTTGCACAAAGTAATATTTAATCTACCTATAATATATCTATATAGTAGGCCAAAACCTCCTTTTTAAGGAGAGGTCTATGTCCAGCAGTGAACTAAAGGCTGTTGATAATGATGATATCTATATGTAAGAAAATAGATAATTCAGATGATGCTGGCTGACTGGTTGAATGTGCCTAAATTTGCGTAGATCAATAACATATTGTTTAGTAGTTTTTATTTTTAGATTGCATAACACCAACTGTTGTAAATAGTCAGCTTTTCTGTCGAGAATAACAAACTTTTAGTATGTTTGTAGAAGATACGTACATCATTTGAGGATGAAATATTTATGTGTACTACTTAATGTGTTTCTTTGCCATAATAAATAAATTGTATTTTTCAGGAAGTCTTATACACAGCTCAGGTAAGCAAATTCACGTATTTTTCAACAGATAACCACCACCGTATACAAATTTTATCACGGATTATAATTTAATACATCGATATTGTTACGAAGCAACGTATGCTGGTCACAATGCCTTGGTGAAGACGAAGAAAATTCCTCAATAATAATTATGGTCCCATTGATAAAAATCGTAGAGCAGTTGACATAAGGCCCTTGTAACTTGGACTAACTATAAACCGTAACACTCAAAGCGAGAAATAAAACTGTCAAACATAATTACAATTTTTAATACTTAAAATTTACTACAAAAACAAGTTGTCTTAAATCGAGTTTTTTTTTGTGTATTTTACATGATATCTGCTTATAAGTAATACAACTAAACTGATTTTGATGATCATTCTAGTCTGTCCCAATGATCATATGATAATTTCTTGTTTGTATACTATATCATTGGAACGAAATATATAAGATTTTTTTTTTGAAAAAAATATTTCACCGCCCGGGATTGAAATTTAAAGGATAAAGCATACAGCTCATTATAATTTCTTATTAAGCGCATTGAAGTCAATGCGTCAACTAATAATACAGTATTGGTTAATTTAAAGCCTATCGAATGGAGCTTTTGCTTATAGCCATGAATATTTTTTCTATCTACCATAAGAGGGGTTGATATTATTCCTGTTTTGGAAATAAATAGATTTCATCTGGTAAACATTAATCTATACTAATATTATTAAGTAATGGAAGTTTGTATGGATAAATGGATGGATGGATGTTTTTTTACTTTATCACTCTTGAACAGCTGAACGAAATTGGATGAAATTTGGTACTGAGATAGGTTACATTCTGGAATAGGAGATATGTTACTATTTATCCAGGAAATCGGCCTTAACGCGAACGAAGGTAACGCTGGTCTATAATTAGTATCATTCAATGTCCAAACATTTCAGTTGTTGTAATTTTATAATTAAACTATATTTATAAGAAGTATAACATTATATTTATGACTCGAGTTCAACTTCTTCATACTTCGTCCGCCACGCCAAGTAAGCGCCCAATGCTGTCAGTATCACCTGCAAGAAATTATGGGCATTTGATCAATGTAGAGTCTCTAAATACTCTAAATTTTATGATATTTATCTTAAATTTTGGGTCGGGGTTAAAAATGATTCATATATATAATTTCTAAGGTTACTTAATACATGTATTTATCTATTTTCTGATCAGGCGTTCAACGATTACTTCTTTTCCATCATTGATGAGGTTTTTGTGTCGGGAGTATTTTGAATTTATGCTTGTATCATATTTTGCCAAAACAAACAGTAACACAAACTTTCGAGAAATTAGAGTCTGTGTAACTACAAGACTGGTTAGCTACAAGAAAGCTGTTTTTTATGTTTAAATACTCTTTTGTTAATCTAATTTAGTTATTACAAGCAGCAAATATCTGAATTCCCACTATGATAAATATTATAATAGGAAGTAATATTAATAATGGATAATATTACTAGATTTAAAGAAATACAAAATTTTTACGTCGTGGTCACCAATTTGGGAATAAAGACTAGTTTTTAGCGCAGAACAGTCAATCTTGCAAATAGTATAAAATCAAGTCGTTTTTTGTTCTTGTACGCTTAGATCTTTCAAACTACGCAACGGTTTTCACCAATAGAGAGAGTAAGTCAAGAGGAAGGTTCATATGTATAATACATGCATTTTTAAGTAGAGGAAGTTCGAAAATTTCATAAATTTGTATTGTGATGTCATAAAACCGCTAGCTAAACCTTACGAAATAGATCAAAATAATGTATTATGAAATTACATGTCTTAAAAAGATCTACTAAAAGTCTGCGATAGTATATGTCTACCACCTCCTAAGGCCGTTTTACGTTTTGTATTTAATGTAGATCCAAATTGCCCTTTACAGCATATCATTAAAATGAATATATTAGTAGAAATCAGAGATTTAAAATGTGGAGAAAAGAGGCCGTAGTCGAGCCTTACATCCGTCCCAGGTGGTATCGGCCGACAGGAGCAGAGCGGGCCTATATTCTATATAAAGATGTCTTGTAGTCTAATACTCTATCAAAATAATAGTATAATTAATTACTAGACACTGACACAACTTTTGTAGTATTAGTAATATCTACATTGCACCCATGCGAAGCCCGGGCGAATCGCTAGTATATTATAAGTGGGTACACTAGTTGTACTCTGCCACGCTTCGTTGTGGCACATTGTGATTGCATAGATGAAAAATGAAGAAAAAAACTAACGCTAAAAATAGATGAAAACATCCTTGAAGCGTGTTGTTTATCGTGTCGAAATTTGAGCTCAATCGGCGCAGAACTTTTTGTGGTTCTGAATCGTACACAAATCAACTTAACATTTTTATATCGATTTTGTATGAACTATCAGCGCTGTCAGCAATATTGATGCTAGAAATTTTAAATAGGTATCGGAATCCGTAGTCACAATGGCAGAGCTACTGCAACAATCTCGACACCTGTGTCCGCATCAGCAGATGTTCATGCAGATGCAATATAAGAGACAGGTGGGGTCGAGTGGCGCCTGCCGACAACACGTGCTTTTTGACTTTCACCAATACGAGAGATTTCGGTGACAACATCTGAGGCATTTGTTATTGTAAAACTTTCTAACTTGATTGCTCTTAAGTGTCATTTTCTGGATCTACAGAATGTTCGTATTATATATGGATACAATGTCGTAGTATTTGAATGTTTTTTAATAGTTAATTGTTTGTTACCATTCTTAGTTTTATTTGATTTTTGTTTTTGTGCGAAATGCAGCCGTTTACATAGAGTTTTTTCAATATTTACAGCAATTATTTACAGAAATTACAGCGTTGTGAAAAAATAAGGAGTTGTATTTTCGTAGTGTTACTTTTGAGCTTAAATTGTTGATCTTGATATCTCTACTGATTTTTTTTTCAAGAATACAATTGCATTATCGCGCTCTGAGCACCCCCTCCAGAATTAGATGAGGGGTAAATTCACAATCAATCTAATACCTGCCAGTGACTTTATCCGCCGATACTAACCTGTATACAAGTCATAGTGAGAGCGGCAACGGCAATGATGTGCGCCTGAGATGCTAAAAATTCACCCAAGGAGATTGCACACCCGGCGATGTACGCGTTGTCCATACCACATTGAAATGGCGAAACAGTCCCATAGTCTATGTGACAGCAGCTGACTGGAATCTGAGTGATAGGGTTCCAGTCGAAACGACCAGTGACGCCGCAACATTCAAACTGAAATATAATGAAAACTTATAAGTCAACATGATTTATTATTGATTAAAAGAACAGTCACAGAGTCAGATCTCTGACGTGCAACCTGGTCAAAATCTTATCAGGCAATTCCTGTTCCTGTTCCTGTTTACCAAGTGAAAAAAAACTTGTTTCTATGAAACACTTTGCGTCTAGTCAAGCTGTTAAAATGGATATTTAAATATTCTCATTTTCGGGAAGGAACATTTGTAAAAATCATTTTTGAAATTTTCCAATTTCAGGGCGAGAATTTTCACCTGACTCTAGTACAGTTTCTGAAAATCTAACAAGCTTACACAATAGACAGCGACCATTTAAATCACAAGTTAAATCTGTAAAATTATATTGTTATTTACTTACTTCCCTTTGCAGATTGTCCCATATTTGTGCTACCTCAATTTTAGTACCATAAAGTTGTAAACTCTCTGCCATTGTTGTCCTGATCTCTGATACAGAATCGTCACTCAGCGCATAACCAACTATGGTTATTGCTATCTCGAACACCAGAATCACCAATAGAACTATCACATACTGTAAGAAAAACATTAGATATAGTTTTCTCATAGTTCGGCCATGAGCTTACAGCTTTTGGTCGAAAGGTATAACTTTTGCTACTTTACACAAATCACTTTTTTTTTAATTCATAATAATCTAATTATACGTTTTTTAATTATATATTCATAAATACGTCCAATTCAAGTCAAATCATATGACGCGCCCCGCATCCCTGCCGGTGCAAAGGTGCCCATGATACTGGCTGATTTTTTAAATTATACAGGTTAAACGAGCAGACGTATCACCTGAATGTAAGTGACTGCCGCCGCTCCTGGAGACCAGGTACTCAGAAAAACCCCCCTTGTGGGGGGGCACACGGGAGGTTAGGATTCTGGTAAGCTCACCCACTCGGTGAAAAGCTCAAAAGTCGCTCAACACCGATTTTCTGAGAGGCCCTGGTACGGACGAGCTAAGTCATATAAAGTAGAATTTCACTTACTCCAGAAACAACATAGAAATGCTGAGAAATAGCGCCATAGAACCCGAGGACTGACCCAATTAAAATAATCACTGCTGTCGCTATGACGAATCCTGCGAGGTTGAAGAACCTGTTCGTTATCAGCTCTTCATATTGCGAGTATCTGACCAGCACTGTTATACCGATGAGGAGCAGAACTATCCCTGTAAGCTGAAGATAATACAATAATTTAGTAGGTACGTACATCAACATAGTCTATAAGCACTCTTCTTTTTCTTGTTTTTCACAACCAACCAACAAAATTATATGGCGTGGCGGTAGTACCTACATACATTCCACTGCGTCAGAGGTCTAAGTTCGACTCCCGCTCAGTGCAATTTTTGGTATCCAGTAATATTTCTACTTGTGTTGGTCTGTGTGTTTCAGTGTATAATATGTAAGTAAGTACTGTGTAACGCTGCACTGGAAAGGGCGTGGCATCAATATCAATGGCGAATACATCTCTCACTTGCGATTTGCAGATGACATCGTCATCATGGCAGAGACGTTGCAGGACCTACAGCAAATGCTGAATGACTTAGCTGACACTTCTGTACGCATCGGCCTACGGATGAACTTGGATAAAACCAAGGTCATGTTCAACGAACATGTACTACCGAAACCGATTGCGGTGCCGTTCTCGAAGTTGTTCAAAATTATGTGTACCTCGGGCAGACATTGCAGTCAAGTAGAAACAACTTCGAGGACGAGGTGAACAGAAGAATTCGGTTGGGTTGGGCAGCGTTTGGGAAGCTACGTCGAGTCTTCTCATCGTCGATCCCACAGTGCCTTAAGACGAAAGTCTTTAATGAGTGCGTCCTACCCGTCATGACATACGGAGCTGAAACTTGGACACTTACGGTACGGCTGGTCCACAAGTTCAAAGTCGCTCAACGTGCTATGGAAAGGGCTCGGCGTTTCTCTAAGGGATCGCATCAGAAATGAGGTGATCCGGCAGAGAACCGACATAGCGTACCGGATCAGCAAGCTGAAGTGGCAGTGGGCTGGCCATATTAGCCGCAGAACCGATAACCGTTGGGGAAAAAGAGTTCTTGAGTGGAGACCACGTCTCGGCAAACGTAGTTTAGGACGCCCACAGGCCAGGTGGAGTGACGATTTGCGCAAGATGGCTGGCAGGAGCTGGATGCGAGAAGCCCAAAATCGATCTAAGTGGCGTGCAATGGGAGAGGCCTATGTCCAGCAGTGGACTGCGATAGGCTGATGATGATGATGAAGTACTGTGTATAATAAGTATCTAAGCAAATTTATTATTTAAATATGTATATTTCAGAACCCGTAGCTTTGCTTGCATAGATAGTACGTATTGTAACTCTTTATGTCATTGTAGGAGTACCGTACATAAATGTGTGAGACAGATACAAAATACGGCCTTTATGTGCAAGGAATCTGTTCGAGACAATTTTAGAATGGATAAAATGATTCGGAGAAATACTTGAAGGTGCATTTCCTAATTTTATTTAAAACTGTAATTACTACTGAAAAGTTCTCACAGAAAAAACATCTTCAGAGGCTCGCATTAGGCAGCTGGATTAGATACGACACTTATTGTGAGCAGGTTTCAGGCCTGACCACCGGTATCTTGGTCCCTGTACCCGACACCGATGGGACACAATATTTTATATTTTTAAATATATTTTGATTTTTTTGTATGAATAATATTTCAAATAAATTTGTGGAAAGTGATCATCGTCGCCATGAACGTCTGCAAATCGGGAGTCACAAACGCGTTGCCGGCTTTTTAGGAAGGAGTACGCTCTTTTCTTGAAGGTTTGAAGGTCTTATCGGTCCGGAAATACCGCAGATGATAACCCGTTTCACAGGTTGGTTGTGCGAGGCAAAATGTGTCTAGAAAAGCGTACAGTAGTGGACCGTGAACTATCCAGTTGATGGAGATGAAAATTTTGCCGTGTGGAACGATAGCGGAAACTTGCGGCCCGTATTAGTCCGAACAATTCCTCGAAGCACTCTCCATGACATATGCGATAGAGAATGCAGAGTGAATCTACATCTCTACGTAACGCTAAGGGATTGAGCCCATCGAAGATGTTTGTGCTATCTATTATTCGAGTCGCTCTTTGTTGGATGCGGTCCAGAGGTATTGAAGCTGGTACTGAGGTGCCCCTGCATAGAGATGAGAACAGTATTCCATGTGCGGCCCTACTTGCGCATTATGGAACTGAAGACAGTGAGCCGGAGTGAAACACTGCCTCGATTTGTTCAGCACACCGAGCTTCTTCGAGGCCAATTTGACCTTACCTTCTAAGTTACCCTGAAACTGGACTTCGATATGTCGATGCCTAGGATCCTGATTCTAGCTGACGCAGTCAGGGAGGTGCTCTCAAACCGAGGTGATACGACAAATGGTATCTTCTTTGCAGTTAACGCCTAGACCTGTGTCTTTTTTGGTTGAAGTAGACTAGATTTAGTCTACCCCAATCTGAAACCTCCGCTAAGGAAGTTTAGACATAAGTTTGTTTTCACTCTCGATGACGTTTTCTGAGAAATATTTATGAATACTTAGTGAAATAAAGAGAGTAATAATAATAGTCTAATTACTTATTAAAGTCATTATATTTTAGGAAATACAGGTATCTTTAGTATAAACTTGTGTACTAAGAGGCTTAGAAGAGTCAAAGGTCCTCTGTTGGTTTGTTTTTATCTTATCTGATTTTTGTCGGTTAAAGACATTTTAAGTCTCTTTTTATAAGAAATGTTTATAAATAAACGATATCTCCTACGGGTTGTTTCTTCATCAGAATTATGAAAAGAGCAGAGTACTGTCAAAATATCGAAAAAAGTAATAGCTTGTAGTGAAACGTGGAAAAACTCAATACCTCCATTTCTACTGATTAAGGATTTTGAAAGACCGTGAAGAACAACATTGAAGTTTTTATGAGCTAACTATGTCTATTTCTATCACTATATAAATTACACTTAGCTGTGTGTATTTATGGACCAGGATATCTAGTAGGTACTAGAGAAAAATAAAGTAGCCTCAAATTATTTATTTGCCGTATTTTATTAGGTAAAATTTCAGATAATAATAAAAACTATTTATTGATACCAAACTACGACTATTCATCAATCATCAACAGCCTATAACAGTCCACTGCTGGACATAGGCCTCTCCTTAGAAAGGAGGTTTTGGCCTACTATACGACGCTGGCCAGACGGGTTGATATACGGTTTGTTTCAAGTTTTCCTTCTCTTTGCAGTGCTGTTGTCCTGCGTAATTTGCTCTCTTAGTCGCCTCTTACGACACCCACGGGATGAATAGGGGTGGTGACATTACGTATTCTTAATCCGTCACCACCCGGACTGTTATACAAAACATTACATTCGACTTTTATTAGATAAAGCTAAACCTCTAAATTTCTGTAAGAAAAGTATCTTTGCACAAACAACCTTATCTACCAAATCTTCTATTATCAGCATCTTGACATCGAAACTAAGGTTACTACAATTCTCTCAGTTTTATTTCTGCAGTACAAGACTGATCTCAGTTTAACTTATATAGATATATTAAAAAGCTATACAGATAAGCATCTGCTTAGTTCATGTTATTCGTCATACAAAAATTAATATACAACCCTCGCTAACTGTATAGCCACGGTCACGAGACTACGAGTTACGTACGACGAGTTTGTTTTTTAGTTTGTCAACAAAATAGGGAATGAACACTAGGGTTTTGAGATGTGCTGATAAAATAACTCACCAAAAACAATCCATTCACAAAATATAGCATATGCCTCACGGACTTTAAAAAATTTGGAACACTACATTTAAAATTCATAGCCATCATTTTTTATTATCTCAAACATGTATAAACCCACTGAAAATTATGAAAATACTAAAATAAGATGATGACCATTTATCAATCAAGAGCGAGTCAATATCTTTGTTATCTTGACACATTCATCTAATCTCCGAAACAGTACGATCGCCCACAGCTAATCTAGGTTATTTCAACGGATTCGTTCGCGTCAATGCAGATATTTTGTCAATCAATTTACTGTTTCTTAGGAACATCTCGTTTTTCGAGATGAAAGTCGATAAATTAGTAAGGCTCTGCCTTTTTGTGTACATGTCAGGTAAATGCAAAATTTTAAGATGAGCAGTTTTAGCGTAAAAATGTAACAAACGGACCACTTTCTAATTTTTAGTATTAATATGGATTAGTACGTATTGTACGTTAGAAATATTGTACAAGAAGCCAATCCGTACCAATATAGTTTAGCCAAAGTGTTTGTTTTTTGTTGCAATTGAAATCAGGCTAATCACTGAAACTACTAGTCGGATTTGACAACTCATTTTTGCATTTTGATTAGCCTAAGGGCCGGTTTTTCAATCCTTAGTTAGACTGTAAGACAACTAACTTTGTATAAATTTATCTTGGTGTTTATCAAGCGAATAAACTTTTTCTGTTTTTCAATCGTGTGTAAAACGACAGATAGTTACTTGATGGTCTTTAATGGCTAAGTTCACTGTAAACATGCGTGCGAGATGCAGTTATACAGTTGGTAACACGTTAGATACGGACCACAAGCTATAAGACAACATTTGTGTCATTCTTTTATTGACATTGCTTGTCGTCACATAATAAGACAACCTTATTGACGTTAGCAGTGACGGTAAACAATAGTGTAGTGGTTTAAGTAACGGACTGTTATTCGAAAGGTCGCGGGTGCGCTTCCGCTCCATTAGAACAATTTGTGTACATTTACATTTAAATTTTGTCTGGGTGCTTTTATTTATTATATGTATATAATAGCTGAACCGGCAAACCTTGTTTTGCCATATACATTATTGCTAGGAAGTATTTAAATAAAAATAGATGTTGGCCGATTCTCAGACCTACCCGATGTGCACACAAATACACGCTCTGAGCTCTTAGTTTGGGTCTAGATGGCGTTGCATGAGTTTGGTATACGATTAGTATATTATTATCATTCGTGTCAATCAATCATCAAAATAAAATCAATTAAAAAAATTTAAATAACATTGTCATCATAACACAAAATATGGTCATATCTTTCCCTAAAAACTCTTTCTTTTCTCTCAGGACACAGCAGAATTTAAATACTTAATAAGGGCAACGTATTTAAACTTTATTACAACAATTTTTACTGAGGATTGGAAAACCAGCCCTTAAAGTACACACAAATACATATGAATGTCAAATGTATATTATATATCTCATAAGATATATTTCTACATCACATTTACTCGAAGACGCAAATTAATATAGAATGAACTTGAGTTACTTAGAAAAGAAACTAACATATAGCCATGAAAACATATAGCCCCTATTTACAGCTACCATTTACCTACCTTTAACCATTTCCGTGATAACAACTTCGTGTTGAAACCATAATAAGTTTAGCAATAAAATTTTGAAAACTATTAGGCGTTTTTAATCTGTTAAATGTACAAGAACCGCGAAGACGGACTAATAGTAACGAGTAATGAGTTTGATGCGAAAACTTGGTAATACAGTCTATTTTTACCAAAATGTAAAATTGTTTAAAGAATAAAGACGATATATGAAAACCAAATCAATCAAAGTCCATGCTGCAAAACTGGGAAGAGCTACTGGCACATAACTATCTATAAAAATAAACAAATTTTAAGTGTCTGTTTGTGATGTCAATATAATAGGATTTTTCATGCTCACACGGTTATTTGCACGATACCTATCCCTAAAAACCAGTTTAAATACTTTCGTTCGTCTGTCTGCTTGTTCCCAGGAAGCTTCAAAACGGCAGGACCGATTTTGATTATTTTTACTACCAGGTAGCTCTCTATATAAGAAGTAACTTAGGGTATTTTTTCCTTTTAGAAAAACCCTATAAAATTTTGCCCGGTCCGGGAATCGACCCCAAGTCCTCATTAACAGCAGTCGCGTCACACTAAGGTCGAATGAAGACGCGGGTACCAGCTAGCTTACAATAAACTTAGTACTTTGAAATCTTAATAAGCATTTTTGTAAAAAAAAGGACATTAAATCGCGTTAGTGAATAAGCCTAAGGCAGTCCGCCTAATGCCAGATCTGCATTATTCGTCTGGCGCCTTAAATTCTTTGGTAATATTCCTAACCTTTTCTATAAACTACTAGAAATATTAATTCTTATAACATGACTACAAACACGAGACGCCACACAATAACCCGACATAAAAGACAACATGAATAACAAATAAATAATGGAAATATTAAAATGAGATAAAAGTACCTAATTATTTCTTAATTTCTTTTTTTTTAAGATGAATAAATACTTCACAAAAAATTCATTGCTGTGTCAGTGGTGTACTGGTATTTGCGTCTGCTTTGATTTCGTTTACCAAACAAATAACTGGTAGATCAATCCTACCAAAATTTTAAACGCTACTATGAAATCTCGATTTAAACATAAAACTTGGCAATACTAAGAGAACGCAAAAAGTATTGTGGTAACTGGCAACTCAGTCACTCGTCAGCTCCGCTGTGTATCGAACGTAGCCCGTGTTTTGTTTTATCGGACGAAAGAAATTTTGGCGGTAAGTTTTATGTGATTATCGTGTAACGTTTCTAGTTAAAAAGATGGGATTTTTTTTTTCTGTTAAATTAGCTGGTAATTAACACAAAAAATTGATAATATGTAATCCGTGTCCCATCTCATCTATTCAGTGTCCTGGGTCAACAACTGCAATCGATGTTTACCTTGCTCGGTTGTGCGTAGAGAAAGGAATAAAATATTATCTCTTTTTTTTAGATCAAAAACAATTAATTAGATTGAAATACAAGATATTAAGATGGCTATTGGAGGCGGAATGTCGTGCGTGAAATATCTTCTGTTTTTCTTCAATCTTTTATTTGCGGTAAGCATTTTTTTTCTAACTCTGTTCGCATTCACCATCGCACATAAGGTTTCATAACTTTGATGTATAATGACTTTAGTGATGTATTGGAACACGGTACTATGTTGTATTGTTACGGTTCAAATTATTTATTAAAATATGCGACTTAACGGTTTATGGATACCTACCCTCACCGTTATGTTGTGACTCATTATTTGTACCACAACTGTTGATACAATTGCTCAACTAAATATGTTATGCGCAAAAAGAAAATAATTTTCTAATTCTTTTTAATGATTTTGCTTAAAAATTATTGACATCAATCACAAAACGTACATTATAAATATTAATAAATTAAGAAAATGATATTTTTAAAGCCCATTGTTAAATAAAAAGTAAAGTACATGAGTAAATGTATATAAATATTTTAAGTTGAGACTTGCACAATCTCACAACAAAATAATGTAAACTAATATGGTATTTACTAAAATAAATCTATACATCAGCTTGAATAAAATTACCATGATCCTAAAAATATTTTCTTTCATTCACATTAACTACCTTAAAAATAACTTGTAACTATTGCTTTTACCACCAAATTGTGATTATTTTTCTGTTAATAATTAACGATTAAAAATAATAAGTATCTACAATTCGTGTTATATTATACTTATAATCTAATTTGCTGTTACTGTTTTTAGGTTACTGGATTAATAATTTTCATAGCTGGCATCAAGGCTGAGATCAATGCATTGCCTTACACGGACTTCACAAACTCAAACTTCTACACATCGGCTCCAATTGTACTGATCATTGTTGGAGTAATTGTGTTTATTGTTGCATTCTTCGGTTGCTGTGGTGCTGTTAAAGAAAACCACTGCATGATAATAACGGTAAGTCATCTTTGAACTAGTCACTTTTGTAATGATTTATGTTTGAATTTTTAGAAATTCATTTCATTGATATTTTAATATAATTTATAAGTTTATTTTGTCTCTTGAAGTTTGTTCTACGACTCCTAATATCGGATATCTGTTATTAGCACTTGTGTGGGGTGTACCTACTTGTTCACTAGTTTAGTTTCAGTAGTGAACATTAAAATCTCATAACGAAACTGTAAATATAACCGTAATATTCAATAATATTCGGACATCTGGCATACAACATCATCTAGTTTAAAACTAAGCAGAGCTTGTACTATGAAAGCTAATTTCACTGATAGTATACTTATAAATATATAATTATATTTATTTAAACTTAATGCACATGTTGTACAAGGACTTGAAGCTTTCTCCCAGTTGAACTTCTGGTGATGTAGAAATATGATGCAGTAAGTACAAAGATAGTGTAAAATTTGTGTAAGTTCATAATAGTTTGGTAAATGAGAGATAAACCTACATTCTGTAAAACTAATATACATAAATATATTGCCACATTTATTATTATACCTACATAGAAGTATATAATATTACAGACTATTAATATATTACTATTACAGTTGAGAAATATGTTAATTATTTTTTCTTGCATTCAGATTTATTACACAGATTGCAACAAAGTTGATTGTCGCTAAAATGCTGTACTGGTCATAAAACAGTGATTCATTGTTTAGTCACACCTATTTCTTTTATAAATACCTATTATACCCCTTATTAACAAACGTGAAGTATAACGACAAATTAGAATAATACTTATTCGTTACCAATTAACATATTGTATTAAAAACTATGAGCTCATTTACTGAAAATATACTAGGTACAGAATATTCGAAACTATCTAAGAAATACTGAACTTCTTTGAGTATTAACGGGTAGTGACGATATTCGTCAGTTCATTGGACCGAAATCATAGTATTTACAAAAATATATTTATCTACTGTAAATATTGTACACATAAACAAGTGACGTGTTCATAAAATTCTCTTATAAAAACTAACTGACTGAATATTCACCTTTTTACAAAAAATTTCATTGATGCTCGACTCCTATTGATCGTAGCGTTTATTAATTTATTAGTAATCGTATTTCCCTGTAGGCTTCCTCGATAAATGGACTATCCAACACTAAAAGAATTTTTCAATTCGAACCAGTAGTTCCTTAGATCAGCACATTCAACCAAACAAATAAACTGTTCATCTTTATAATAATAGTATAGAATAGATATTTGTATATTATATTATTAGTATATTTTTCTTATCCGTGTGCTGACGGATTAAGAATACGGAATGTCACTACCCCTATACATCCCGTGGGTGTCATAAGAGCCGACTAAGGGAGCAAACGACGCAAGACAACAGCACTGCAAAGGGAAAACTTGAAACCAAGCAACCCGTCTGGCGAGTGTAGTATAGTAGGCCAAAATCCCCTTTCTAAAGAAAGGCCTATGTCCAGCAGTGGACTATTATAGGCTCTTGATGTGATAGAATAGATATAGAAGAGGTTAGGACTAGGTTACACACCAAATTATTGCATACCCCATGCTACATTATTATAAATATGTAGTATATTAAACACAAGACATGGTTTTCTTACTTTCTTAAAGCTCTGCAAAACTATTATTCACAATTTTGAAGAACAATCAATTGACTCTTCAAAATGTCTACACAATACATAATGTAGTTCAAGTTCTGTTTTTGTATTTTCCATGTAACCATTAAAATTATCGATTATTCTTTATCTGTTTACGTTACATACTGTAATTTGATATGTTCTTTTGTTTGTATAAACATAAACACGGTTAATGGCCACTGTAACGTACCTACACAAAGATTATGGTCGCAATAATCTTTTGCGGTTCGTAAATATTTGTGTTGCAATTGAAAGAAGACCTTACTTAATCCTATTATATAATCAATTTTTTTAACACCACCTGCCTTGGCTTTTATGCCGTTTGGTTTTTTTTTTTTTGAAAAAACATTAAATTACAAAGAGCACACATGTTGGACGTCTTTTTCATATGTGCCAGAACCTTTGCTGCAGAAGAAATATGTGATAGTTAATACCCATAATTATAAATTAAATTACTCGCTTTGAGGTGGTTACACATAGTCAAAAATAGTAAAAGTGATTAAAACATGTCTATAACTGTATCCTGAATATTATACCTAAGTTCACTAAATAATATCCAACCAGATCGTAAACGAGTAAATTCAAATTAATTTTTGTATTTTCCTGTACCAACTCCGATACCACTATTTTATGTTTTTTCAAGAATTTCAACCAGGCTCCATTGAGTCCTAATTTGGAAGTAAATGACGCCTAGTTATAAATCGCTATTAGCGATAAGACGGTCAAGTAGAGCACTATTTATCAAGTTAAAAATTCTTACAAAAAATATTATTAATAAAAAATAGATACGCAACATTAACATAGCGTTTACTAATGTTAATTATACCATTATTACATCTTTAAAAAAATCTACATTCCATGCTTATCACATAACGTCGTCTGTGACTAAGCTAGATGTTTTTAAACCATAATTGATGTAAAAAAAATATCGTAGCATTATATCGTAAGTCTACCTCCTTTCTAAGGAGAGGCTTACGGACTGGACTGTTAAAGGCTGTTGATGATGATGATGATATCGTGAGTCGTATAAAACTTGTAGAGTAAGAGCCGTTTTGGCATGTGTTATTAAATTCATTGGTGGATTTTAGTATTACTTCAATTCAATATCATAATGGCATATTGTCCGGCTTATAGTACCCGAGTCCAGAAATCCCAACAGCATACAAGCTCCAACCCCTCTTCTGAAAGTTACTTGCAATTTTAAGATATATCGTGTCTGGCTAATGTTGTGGTGGATACGAGAAAAATGTACCTAATTAAAACTTGTCTAGTGTGCTCTATAGAACTAAAGATCGCTGTTATTCGCCGTAATAGCTACTAGTATAAATACCTTGAAAAAATGCAATTTCTTCCATCATAATTACCATTCGTTTTTCAACCAACTTATAAAAGGGAAATTAAGATTCTTAATTTATATTTTCTCATTGAAGTAGATTTAATTACATTATATAATTTGGACTGCAAATTTTACAAAATTTCAATAGAACCGACCCCGATACCACCGACACCAGTTCGAGAGACGCGTTACCTAGAATCATTGCATCGATCGATATCGACGCGTCTATTATTGTACCCTCATCCGTTTTTCCAAGCCACTGAAGGCTACACCGTGTTACCAAGTACTTCCTTTTTGTGTTATCCGATGTGTTATACAGTATTTCTTTTCATTTCAAATATCGTGAAATTAATCATTTAATTATATACGATGAGATGATAGATTTATTTCTTGTTCTGTAAAGTGTCGATAGTCAGACAAATAGTTTTGAAGAGGATAGATATAGATAGTAAACAAGATAACTGGTGTGTGTCATTTCTTTGTGCACTTTGCCTATATCTTATAATCGCTCCGAACTAAAATGAGTCATCACAGAACTTAAAAGTCAAAAACATTCATAATAACTACTCTGTACTTAGCTCAGTATAATTAACCTAACACAATAAAGATGCTGGATGCAAAGAGCTCTTTTGTGCTTTCACCTGTAACCCCTTACTAATTGTAAAGTCGTCTGCGTGTTTGCTAATTTAATGGTATAAAGAGAAAATGATAACAACACAGAACAGTAACTCTTTTAACTCTTCTGTTGATAACAAAACCCAGCGTTTTAAATACTAAGGAGAAAAGTTTACTTGCCATGTATAAATATATAACTTATAATACTACTGTTATTATTGCTCCTCACTGATAAACATATATCTGTAATACATATGCATATCTACTATTTATATTATTGTGCGACAATCGGGTAAAACTAAATTAAGTTTATATCTGTAAAGCTTCTTTTATTCTCTCTTGTTACTTATAAACCCTGCCCTAATAATAATTTATTTCTTAACAAGACATATTAGCTAGGATAAAGGTAGTCTAGATAGATTCATTGATTCATTCATCCTGATTAATTAATTATCATAATTATTTACCAGTAATAGATTTCTATTTCTGTACGTCCGTTTCTTGCGTATGTATAATTACATAATAAAACAATAAAAGTCCCTCAAAACAAGTTATTGCATCCTAAATATTAAATTGAGTTATCTGTAAACTTAAAACTAGATATTTAGAAACAGCAAGGGTATTATTAAACAATGAGTATGTTCTAAAAGATGATTCGTTATGAGTCAACTCTAAATATAGTCATTAGTATGCATTATGGTTATTTTATAAAACTTTATTCTTGATAAGACTATACATTCATATCATGATTCGCGGTCGTCAATAAAGTGTGTTAATAAAGCGTCTCATCGTTGGCGACCCACGCTTGCCGGTTTACCTAATAAAATGGATTGGACATTTTTTGAAATAGTTGACAATTTGTATTGCCTATGAGGAAAATCTGCCAGAAAACCTATATTACAAAAATAGTATACTCATAAAACAGGCTTAATGAACAGAAAAGTGTGGTACCAATAAACTCGGCAGACCCTTTTTGTTAAACAAAAAGTAAAATGTGGCCTAATGACCCTCGCAAACTTGCATCATGCGAACGTACACATACCTATTACCTACATCTAACCGACCTCCTGTTCTGACTAACTTGAAGAAACAAGTTTACCTTGAGAAGTTGGATCCCAATATTTGATCAATTTTGTCACAATAAATAGAAACACTTTAAAAGTTATTCTAATTATGAACTCCTCCAATATAATACATTGTGTTAATATATGATATTAACACAATGTGTAGTAGAACTGCTTTCACAGATTCGGTAACGCGTAAAATGATACTCCTGTATTACTATGGCTTTACTCTATGTTATGTAAGGTTGTTTGACACGTAGGTACTAATAAAAGTAACTTATGATATTCATGGCTAGGTGTGAACCGATTGA